ATATGACCAGGCCGAAACATAGAAATTCACAAGGATGCATCCACAATCTGCCAATGACTGTGAAATGTCCAGTTCAGTGTTCCTTTCCCAGTAGGACATGTGATCTTACACTGAGGCCCTCTGTGCAGAAGCACTCTCCAGTTGTGGCTTTGCATAGTTGTTGAATGAGAGGGAATACGTTACAGATTAAATCCCTGGCCTTGATTTCTAAATTGGCCTGTTTTCTAAACATTAAAAGGACAAAAGAGTCCATTTAGTGTTTAGAAAAGCAGGGATTCACTTGCAGGATGGAGTCATTACGGCAGCATCACTTTTCACTGCTGAATAAATTACCTTCAGCTCTGCCATTTCACTATATTAGAAGGGCTGCAAAAGGCAACTAAAAAGACATCTGAACATTAAAACTACCCGCCAAATACTGTGTAGATTCCCCTCGTGGGGGCAAGACAGCTATAACCCGTCAAGGCCTGGACTCCACATGTCTAAAGGTGTCCTTCGGGTGGCAAGACTTAGACAGTAGATCCATTAAATCCTGTTAATTGCAAGGTGGAGCCTCCATGGATCAGACTGGTTTTTCCAGCACATCCCACAGATGCTCAATGTGATGGAGATGTGGGGAATTTGGATGCAAAGCCAACACCTTGACCTCCTTTTTTTCTCAAACCATTCATGAACAATGTCTGCAATGTGGCAGGAAGCATTTCCTGCTGAGGACACCTTTAATACTGTTGCCATAAAGAGGTGTAGGTGGTCTGTAGCAATGCTTAGGTAGATGGTACATGTCAAAGGACGTGATCGCATGGACCCAGAGTTTCCCAGAAGAACATTGTCCAAGAGCATCACATTGTATGTGTTGCTATGCCTTATACTTGCATGCCCATTGTGGGAGATTTCAGAAATGGACAGGAGTCTTCATTGACCAGTTCGCAGCTCCAAACACAGTATGTTGTAATACACCGTGTGTTCTGACACCTTTCTATCACCAATTTGTGCAACAGTACCTCAAACCACAAGGCCCAACCTTAAACCTTGGGCGTCCATCACCCTGTCCCCTGTTCCCCAATTGTCCTAACCAGTTTTATTAACCACTGCACACCAAGAAAACCCCGCAAAACCTGTTATTTTGGAGATGCTCAGACCCAGTCATCTTGTCTTACTTTTAAGTTACTTAAAAGCTCACAATGCCCTTTTTTCTGCTTCCCTCACATCAGCTTCAAGACCTGAATGTTCACTTGCTGCCTGATATAGTCCACCACTTGACAAGTGCCCCTGAAATGAGATAGTCAATGTCATTCATTTCACCTGTCAGTGGTTTTGATATTGTGGGTCATCAATGTGTTCTTGTATACTTATGATGCTGCTACGTCACAGACCTTTGGGTATCTGAAGATAGTGAACGCTGTTGTCTCCTGACCTGTACAAAACTTGGCAATTCTCTTTCGTGCAGTCACGTAACACTGGGACACACCAGAGTTCGTAATGCAGTGTTATTAGACACACACCTAATTATTTGGGCAACGTAAAATGGTTTGTGCACTTGGTATCACTCACCTGAGGCGCTGTTATAATTGGAACTCCTAACAATGACACGCAACATTGGAAAATCACTGAACATGTATGGTATTTGAGGAGACACTTAAGTTGAGTCAAACTCCACGTTTACAGCACTGTAAATAAAATGTACTGGGAACAAGCAGAACAGGTACAGACTTCTGTGTGGCATCTTCTGGTACCTGTGAACTCAGTCACATACATTTCTGACAGTGAAGTTCTGAACCTTGACACGCACATTTGAGTTGTTTATCAACTACAAATGTTGCTGATCTGTTGAGTCCATAAGGGGGGAAGCTGTAGGTCCTTTTGAGGGAGTCATTTTGACATGGCACAATAAGAAAAGCACAGGTAAATATCAAAATCAGACGTATACATTTCACTTAGATGCGTACATTTTAGGAGTTCTAGTAATTACAGCTTATTCAGACACTTGAATAAAATAGAGCCATCAAGTCATCCTAGCTTCTGTTCAACTGTTGTCAGCAACTCAATGCAATCTGTCTTTACTTGCAATGAGTTTGGACAAAAAAACCAAAGTGTCTTTCTTTTAACTAATGCCACCACCCATTGAGGGTCATTTCTACCTTTAATATTTAGTAATTTTTTTTTGTTTGGTTTTCGTCAGTTGGATGTTACAGTTAACGGTAACATCTAAAAACTAATCTCTAAGAACTACTCTACTAATCTCTGTTCATCTGAAAATGGATCGGGTGTACACTGATCAGTCACCACATTGAAAGTACTGATGAGTAAAGTCAATGAGTCATTCTTTTGTTTTGTTTTGGCGGCAAGAAAGTGACCTACATAAGCCCAGTCTCCACAAGAATGCATTCCCATACAGCTAAAGTGTATTCTCAATTAGATTTCGAGGGAAATGTGTTTTCTCTGCGGTTATGTTTGTTTGTAATTTATCACAAATACATTTCTAATTAACACATATTTTATTTTACTGCTTCATTGTCACTCAGTTTCAGCCAGCCAATCATATATTAGATAGGGTAGGAGTTACCACCCCAATAATCCAGAAAATGTAGTGAAAGGGTCGTATTTTAACCCAAACCATGACTTTTTAAAAATAATCTTAGTGCCTAACCTTAACAAAGCTAACCATAACCCTAACATGTAAAAGTGTCAAAGCATAATGTCTTCTTAAACCCCACCATGTAGTTTTAGGGCCTAAGCCTAACCAGAAAGTGAGAAAAAAACAAACCTAAACAACAACAGAAAACAAACTTAATTCTAAGACTGATGTTCTCTCATCCATTGTGGGATACAAACCCTAATCTTCTGGATAAAAGTCCATTGTCTGATTTATGCCAACAACCACCTGCCTCTGAACATGGACTCTGTCACTCTTTCAAACTGGATGCCTTTCCCAGCACAGTAGGTCAAAAATTACGTTTAGTTCAAAATAAAATTAAGAAAACGTAATTGACACTGCATTTTAGTTGTGTACCAATGTAATTTTGTGGGGACAGGGATGCCAACACAGTATTAGTCAGGTGGTTTTAATGTTGTGATTTATTGGTAAAACTTTGCCTCCTTTAGTATGCACAAGCTAGTATCTCTGCCTCTTTCTCCATCCATCCTTCTGTTGCTCCTCTGCAGCTCAAGCATACCAGCTCACCAATGGGAAGTTGTAGTATTTGAGTAATTAAGCGATACATGTTCAAAATAGAAATGGATTCTTAAAAACAATGATATGGAAAGACCCACCCTGCAATATCACAAGTTTGTCATATGGGAAATCTTGGCTGTCCGAGAATCTGTTTTTGAGGCTGCCTTCGGTACGCTGTAGTTTCAAGGCAGAAATGTGCCACCATATTGTTGACTGCTTATGTCACTCATGATATGTCTTCAAGCGTATAGAAAACACCATATGGGCACGTTTACAAGGTTAAAGATGTCCATCTACTACACTCCTTGCCATAACAAACTGAAACCTTCAAGATTTTCCGCAAAGTTATACTATTACAACAACTGCAACTTGCGTGACTACATATGCTACTATGTGGTAGTGTTGTATCATCACAACATGGGTTTGTCCATATTTATAAAACTCTCCCAGTTTTTTTCAAATTTGTAGATACAGTTTCTTAAGTCTAAAAACTCCACATCCTCATTCATCTCTGTCCGGCTGTTATTACAGATCTGTGAGCTCGCTGCAGTCCCTCAACTCGCCTTCTCTGTCTAGCCACAACATTTAGTCAGTCCATATGTAGGGCTTATAGGAATGGGTTTGCTGAAGGCATACGAAATATTTTCAAACCATTTTCTTGATATAAGAAGCAAGTCACATAGTCGACGGTTGAGAAAGGCTCTTCCAAAGCTCTATGTTTAAATAAATAAGGTCTTCTTACTTCTGGAACAAGTTCTGGTTTGACTTTTTCTCTCTATATGCCACATAGATGCATCACATTACTGAAACTGTAATTTATATGACCATGCTCCACCAAAAGAACTTTTCTCCACTGCAAAAATGTCCAATCAGCAAAAAATGTTCCTGTTTCACTGCGCTGTTGTCTGTTATCGCCAGTCATTAGTTTAAAAAATACCCAGCAGGACTTTCATCAGGATTTGTAAAAATGCTTCTTGTGTACTGTACACTCCCTTCTTGAATCAGTACGCACAGTAAAACATCAGAATGTCCGACATGACCAGACGTTCAGCGCTGAGCATCAAGGCCTGCAGTCTGACAGTGACCTTGTGATCGTTCTTACATAACCAAGACCTTCCCTCACCCCTCCAAACACACAGAAAATGGTCCTTGAGTCGAGGCCAGCATTGGAAAGCAGAGTGGCTGAGAAAGCAGCTTGTTGCCCCCAGTGATTACAGTGGAGAAAGGACCCCACCCACCACCCCACTTTACTCAGATAACAGGCTCGTTGTTGGACGGAGGACCCAAACAAAGACGACCCTGTCCCTCTCCTCTTGCTCACCCTGCTCCCTGTATCTGTATCCAAGCTTTGATTTCCTCCATGGTCAGCCAGCAGGTATCTATCTGAACCAAAGATACCTGAACCACTCCCTCTGTCTCCCCCTTCCATCCGTTCCTCCATCCTCCATCCACATAATCCTGAGGATACAGAACGGGGCTGATTAGGGAAACTTTATCTGGTGGGAGTAGCGTGATGGGATCAAAAGGAGTTTGGTGTATCCAAAACACTAGGGGGTGAAAAGCCACGACTTTGATGCAGTGCCAGAGAAAATATGTCCTTACATGCTCAGACTTTAATGTGACCTGCAGTCTGTTTGTTGGTGGTGGCATCATCATTGAATATTGAACCCATGAGAGGCAACTCAGTGGAAAACACCTGATAAATGACTCAACTCTGATGTGTCAGCTCTCTAAACTGTACTGACAGAAGAGTCTTCAGAGCTGTATTGACAAACTTAAACTCAATTCTGTGAAACTGTCCAACTCTTTTTTTTTTTCTTGTTCATAGGATGGCATTATCTCAGTGAAGGACATTGACCTGGTGATGTCAGAGGGACTAGGAATGCGTTATGCCTTCATAGGTCCCATGGAAACAATGCACCTCAATGCGCCTGAAGGTAAAGTTCCCTGTTCTGACTTTTTTGCTCACACATACAGAATTTCGCCACCCAGCATACCTTGTTGATGCTCTAGTTTTGAACTTCTTTTTTAAATATGAGATTTCAAAAGATGATACTGAAGGACAACATAATAACCTATGGATCAAGAACTACATGTACTGGATGTCAACTTTCACAATAACTTACAGTAAAAGTCTTGCCCGTTGGAGTTTCAAGACACCTAAATGGATATTTTATAGTCATAAGTGGTAGATAACAGTTCAGAGTAGATCCCATTACATTTTGAATATATTTAAAATTAAGACTGTACGCACTTAAATAAAAGCAGTTTCTTTCCTGTAGAAGTTGCTCATGTGCCTAACTGGTGTTAACAGCAGGTTACCTGTCACCTTGTACTTGCACATTTTCACATAAGCAGTTAATATTATAGAAAATAACAGTACCAAAGTCTGGGTATTAGCTAAAAAACTACTACAAATGAGCACAGAGAGCCTCTGAATGTCAGAAACCAAAGTAGTTCACCAGTTACATAATAACTGTGAGAGAATCAGCAGTGACATAGTTCACATGTCTCAACACACAACATACATGTACTGTACCACACTGTGGCATCGCTGTGTGTGTCAGAGAGAGAGTGAAACCTCAGGGAGATGGAGAATATCAAAGGGGAGTGTGAAACTCAGACAGCAACCCTGGCTGTGTACACACACACACACAGAAAGTACACTTTGGCTGAACAAAGCAGCCTTTTGATGGGTAGCCATGAATGCACTCCCTCACACCAGTAATCCAAAACTCACAGAGCCCACATCGCAGCCTTCTAACCAGGTGCCAACTCTACCTGTAGTTACAGTACTCAACCTCTCTACTGATTTTTTTCTTCCTGCTCAGGAAGCAGTAGCATGATCATGTTCTCAGAAGATTGTTAAGGCCTGTTGTGACTTAAAGTCCTTAAATCATTCCGATCAGATAGTAGAGCACTCAGCCTCACTGTCTTCTCTTTCTACTCTGCTTGAATAACTTAGCTTTTGTATAGCATGTACCTGCACTGGAGAACATTATCCTTTAAAGGAATAATCCACGAAAAAAACCTTGTTGTCTAAAGTCTTTCGTATAATCAGTTTGAATTGATTCACGTGGATTTAAATGCAGTTCGACAGCTAAAAAGCTTCTAAAGGACCTTAGAACGGTGCTAGCAACAAGTGTGCAAGTGTTGAAGATACTGAGCCAAGTTACGAAGATACAGCAGACCTTCTGTCGACACTTTTTTCAAACTGGGCGACCTTTGCAAACCATTGTAACCATTGTTAACATCAATCTGATTACAGCTGTAGTCCTCAACAAAGAAGCAAGCTAGAATCTCTCCATAGCTACCTTTCAAGGCTATAGGCCATGGAGTCTTTGGAGCTCAAAACATCCCTTTAAGAGCGAACTGCAAAACACGAGACACTTATGGCAAGCTGTTTTAACATTCAATAACTGAGTTAGACTATCTGGAGTAAAATGACATTACACTACCATGTCCTTTTGACTAGTTAGATACCTGAAATTCAGTTTTGATGGGTAGAAGTTCTAATTGCAGATATGCAATGCAGAATGTTATTATAACTACTCTGAATTGTTGTAAATGACGTTTCCTATTCAGCATTTAAATTGTTAAGAAATAAAGGTGATTGATAAGATTGGCAGAGGATGCTGTGAAATAGGAAGACTTTATCAGCAACAAGTTTGTGGAGAAGGACAGCTTTGTTTATTTGTTAAAGTAAAAATGGCTTGTCATATGCGCTTCCAGTTTGAAAAGCAAGCCGCCTCTGACTTGCTGTAGCTTCCGATGTAGCTACAGATATCAAGCCAAGTCAAAACTTTGTGAACTGTTTTTGTTTTTCTGACTTGAAAGAGGGCTGCACAGTCGCTCAGTGGTTAGCACCATCGCCTCACAGCTAGAAGATCCCCGGTTCGCGTCCTGGTTAGGACACCTGGGATCTTTCTGCGTGGAGTTTGCGTGTTCTCCCCGTGCAGAGTGGGTTCCCTCCAGGTTCTTCCCACAGTCCAAAAACATGCTGAGGTTAATTGGTGATTCTAAATTGTCCGTAGGTGTGAATGTGAGTGTGTTTGGTTGTCTGTCTCTAAGTGTAGCCCTGTGATAGACTGGTGACCTGTCCAGGGTGTCCCCTGCCTTCACCCTAAGTCAGCTGGAATAGACTCCAGCCCCCCTGTGACCCTAGTGAGGATTAAGCGGTGTATAGATAATGGATGGATGGATGGATGGATGGATGGATGGTGTGAAAGAAACTGAACTATATGGATATCTACAATACATGTCCAGTCCAACTATTAAATGTTAAAAGGGCTCACCATTAATACAACAGTAAGCAATGTACTTACTTTGGGAGTGTCATTTAGAATTTTATTTTCCATTACATCAGTTTATTTCTTTGCAGGACATGACAGGTAAGAGTTTGTTTTCCAGAGCTACCTGACGTTCAGTTTTGTGTAATGACACTTGGAAGGACAACTGAAAGAGTCAAAGGCCAGTGTCCATTCTAAACTGTCAAAGTTGAAACTTGTAACCTTCCACTCATCCTTAACCGGCACATAAATCTTCAGTCAACATTCCGGAGTTGCTGCTGGAAACTCTTGGGAAAACCTGCTGTTTGCTGAGCCATCTATTGCAAAACTGTGTGTACCTGAGCCATGCATGGTTACATCCTTCATTTTACTTCATTTAGGAAAAAAGCATTAAAATTACACCAAAACTGCACAGAAATGAAAAAAAGCAAACAGCTTGAAATGACTTTGTTCCACACAAACTGTTTGATTGAAGCTACGTGGTATTTATCACACTGCTGTGTCATATACAATGTGGCGTCCCATTCAAAGGTCAACTTAAGGACAAAACACAGTATAATACGCGTTTCAAAGTAGTTTTCTAGCTTCACTGTTGCCACATATTGGGTATTAATATTTCCCTGAGTAACCAGGAAATGAAAAGTCTAAAGGCATTTATTTTCTGGTGTGAAACTTCATTTTAGTGCGGCAGAGTTGTTTAAACTGGAGCCCTTCTGACCTGCCTTCATTAAGGAGCTGGTGTGAAGCTCTTTGGCCACATCTTGTTTTTTGCTCCACACTGACTTTGTGTAATGCTTCAAACATCTAGTCCTCACCTGCTGGATGTCTTATCACAGGAATGTCAACAAACCATCCCGCTGAGCCTCTTTATGATGCGCTTTGCCCAATCATTGATTATAGAAACTCTGTTACCCCATAGACTGCCAGCTGCCTTGAATTTTTCCTACATCCAATTTAAGGGCCTTAATTAATTATTTGATCAACAAACATTTGGTTGCATGCTGAAAGACGTTTATATGAAGATGCAACAATAAGACCCTTGATTTCTGATATCTTGAATGTTTTTTGCATTCATTGTAAGTAGTTTGCAGCTCAGTATGAACACAGCAAGGCTCGTGACAGACGTTTTGCACAAAAACAAAACGTCTAGTTATTAATCACTAACAGTCTGTTGGGGCACAAATCACTGATCAGCCAAAATTTATGCTGCATAAGCCATAAATGAACCACTAAAGATTAGTAAATGAAAATAGCGCTAATGATTTGCCGTCAAAGTTCAACTAAGACAAAAAAAACACACAAAGGGGAAGCTGACGGCTATTTATGAGGCATTTAACAGCAACGAGACTTAAATTATATTCATACTGTATAATTTAATTACCTGATACTGTGGAATCTAAATGTTCAAAAGACCAAGACGAGTCTGAGAACAGTTTAGTGAAGGAAACAATAACTGCAGAAAATAGAAAATTTCATTACTTGTATCATGAGCTCACACTGAAGTCACCTAAACTTACTTTACTATTTATCTTTGATTCCGTGTAACAGAAAACCTTTGGAATATGCCTTAATTAATACTAATGGTCATGAAGATACATTTTTTCTGCACCTGCATTTTCATGCTTTCCATTTAGTTTGAAGCTGCAGTTATACTGTAGTTGTATGCTATGGCTAAAGAGCAGAGGAGCACATTTCCAAAAATACGTTGTATAGAACTTCAAACCACTAAGAATAAACTCTTTTTCCATCCATCCATCTTCTCCCGCTTATCCGGGGTCGGGTCGCGGAGGCAGCAGCCTGAGCAGAGCCGCCCAGACTTCCCGATCCGCACACACATCCTCCAGCTCTTCAGGAGGGACCCCCAGGCGTTCTCTTTTAACCTCTCTTATTATTTAACCTAAAAGCATAAGGAGTCTTTATTATATTACCATGCAGGTGCACATACAGACAGCTGTGGACACCAGAGACAGGTAGTTCTTGTTATTATAGTATTAACGTATCTACAGTCTGATCCATACAACCACAGTAGACTGGCATGCATGCATTCTGCACACACACACACACACACACACACACCACTGCCATTGTACTGCATGGACACACATTTTGAGCTCCAAGCAGGTTAGAAAGTACTATAACAACATGGTGTCCTCAGTTGTCCGTGTGCATGTCCAAGTGAGTATATGAAAGTCTCCACATAACACCTGGACCCATGCACTCACATGAAGCTCAGAGAAGCAGTTCCAGTCCTAGAATGCAATTTTACAACTTCATACTCATCCAGTAACAAGAAGCTTTTTGGTATTTTAAAACAAAGAGTTCTACCTTCTGTGTTTTTACACCTTCCAAAATATCTTTGTTGGTGTCCACCTGCAGGGAACCTCTATTAGGTTGAGAACAGGTTTATAAACTGTGATATTCTGCCTTGAGCACCATGACACTGGTTTCCTGGACAGATTGAGTGCCAGTGACTTTCTATGTTAGAGTTTAGGCTGTGAAACAGAATTTCTGATAAAGATCTGTGCTGTTTGATCATCTTTTCATTCCTGGCTTTACCCCACTGATCAGCTGTTCACCCCCCTCCCACAGGTTTGGAAGACTACATGAAGCGATATGGAGAGGGCATCCAGAGGGTCCTGACTTCTTTTGGACCTGTACCTGATTTCCGTGCTGAGGGATCCAAGAGCATCGTTAATGTAAGTGTGAAGGCAGCAGAACAGTTCACAATGTAAGTGAAACTTCACAGATGCCAACTGTGTGTCCTGCCCAGAGAAATTCATGCCTATTTATGGCAGCATGTGAAATGTAAGTGTTTATTTATCCAGGTCAAAGTCATTTAGTACATTTAATAATAAATTACCCTGATTTATGAGTTCTACCCACTGAGGTGCATGTTTGCTGATGGTGCCTTTAGTTCTGCATGACTGAAAGTCAAGAGTTCCTCCTCACCTCCTTGCCCTAATGTTCTTTCGTAAGTAAGCCTTCCTCGGTCACAAGCTATCACATGCTGTTAAAATGTGAGCCACAGAAGGTCATCATGTGAGGACACCCTGAGCTAAAGCAATAAATAGTTTCAGGTGAGGCTCTTTGGAGGATAAAAGCAGTTCATCTTGTTTGATCTGTGTTTCCTGGTGCTGTTTGCCTTGTTTAGAAACCTTCAGTTCTCACTGTGGATATTCTCTCAATATTTTCAATGAAAGTTGATTAAACTGGTTGTATTTATGCAGTGATTCATATTTAAAGCTAAGGTGCAGGTGCTACTACATGTAAATACATGTTATTTACATTCAAACTGTTGCCAAACGAGTTCACACAGGGTTGATTAAACTCTCTCTGTATTTCACTGCATACCAGAATTTTTAATCTAGTTTCTGTGGTGACATTCCCACACTGGGGCACCAGTAGCGACGTGTTTTCATTAAATAGCAATGACTAGATTGCCTTAGCTGAAGAAGGGAGCGATGATAGCAATGTAGACAAAGAAGGCGAGAGCAACTATAAATATGGCAGAACCAAAAAAACCGATAAAGCCTCCAAGAAACATTTCAGATGCTGCAAATAAAAAAGAAAGTCGCCTTCAAAGAAATTACAGCTTAAAGAAGAAAGCAATGAACAGAATCGCATACGTCATATAAGCACAAATCCACAGCGTTTCCCAGGGCCAGAAAGCGGGAGACAAAGGAGACAAATCCATGCTCAAAAGTACATTTTGCTTTTGTGAATACATTTATAAAGTCAGCACTCAGTCTGCAGGGTTATCAAAAATCCCACCTCATTAACTTAGATAATATTTGTGATATACCCTGGCGGTCCATGTACCAGGATGAGGCCGTATCTGTTAATGAAATGCAACCTGTTGCCATTGTGCACAGATTTTAGGGTATGTGACAAGCTGCATTGTTATAATGCATAGGATTTGATTGGCCTCATGACAGGGACAGAGAGCTGTGTCATATTTCAAAATCCTCCCAAGTGGCCTTCCAGTTTTGAAGCTGTTATTGAATTTGATTGTTTTTTCAAAAGCTGAATTTAAAAAAAAAAAAAAGCTTAGGCTTAAGGGGGCTTTTAAAGACAGATTTTAACAGCAGCCCAGAGCCACACTGACGAGAAGTACGAAATCACCCAATAAACTCTTCAAACCGCACCTGCAGCGTCTCTATGCTCCATTCACACTAGTCTAAACTCCAAAGTAGTAAGACCTCAAATGCCAACCCAAGGAGAGTCAGTTCAGGTGACATTGAGGCAAAGCTCTGAGAGGCTTTCATTTTGCTAACTAGACAGCAGCTGCTTTCAAATTCAAACAACTGACACATCTCATGATTACAACATATTCAAGCTTTCCCTCATTTTCTCAGAGTTTGGAGGGTCCATTTCTCTGTGCACTGCAGTCTTCATCTCACCCAACTCTCCCCCAGAAAGAGACATCAGCAATTCGATCATCTTTCTATTATAGATTGACTGTAAAAGGCTCTGCTGTTTGACTAAACATGACTGAACATAAATCTAAGTGAAATGGGAGCAGGAGCAGCAGCAGCAAAAAGCTTCACCAGGAGGGCGTATTGTACAGTCATGTAAGGTTCACACTGTCCCCACTGTGAAGGCACCCAAACAACCAAGAGTCCTACTGAGAGCAACAGCAAGCATGGCCGACTGTGTCTGCTAGAACTAAGCAGCAACCTCTGGTACTGAAAAATGAAGCCGAATTTTAAAAAAAACAAAAACAATTGCAGTACCTTGAATGGCCACTTGAGGCTGGCTCCAAAAGTGAATTAATCCCCATAGACCCCCATGTTAAAATGTCCAATTTTACAGCAGAAATAAATATGTTTAAAGCCTGGAACAAAAACAGTTTCAGTCTCTATAAATAATGTCTCCATTAATGACAACTGTGTGGGGGGTGAATTTTTATATAACTCACCTGTTTACATTCTGTTAAGGCTTAAAGTTATGCATAATTAGGGGTCGGCCCATGGCCCAGACACGGCCACTCATGCTCCACGTCCTTACTCATGGGTTAACTGGGAGTTAGGAGTCAAGCGATGTCCAAACCCAACACACTGAGCTTCAAGACGGCTGTTCAGGATGCTTGTGGGTGGCACCACTAAGGTTCATCTATCTTCCTATACAGTGAATAACTAAAGCACCCGACCAAGCAATCAAACTTTAGGTCTATGCACCACCTCTTTGCGAGGACGTTATTGAATGTGTAAGTCAGATGTGTTTCTAACAATAAGGACAAGTTATTTTGTGAGGACTACAGTATACATACATACATATATATATATATATATATATATTAAATGCCACCAGCTATGTTGTCATCCATTTTTTCTTAGTGTATGAGGAACTCCACCAGTGTGTGCTTTACCACCTCCTTCGCTTCTTTGCTTACAATGTTTTTACAGGAGATGTGTGAGCTGATCCCTAGCGATCAGCAGCATCTGTCGGCCAGGAAGGACAGGAGGGACCAGCTCCTCATGGGTCTGGCCAAGCTAAAGAAGGACCACTAAGATCTGCAGTGAGGGGCCCAAAATCAGCAACAGTGTCATTGTAATGAGAATGATCATGATCTCTGCAAAAGGGTGTTACTTTGTTTTTCTTTTAAAATCTGTGACATTTGGTAAACATAATGTTATTAGACATTTGATAAAAATTTAAATGTGAAGAATAATTTCTTGGAGTGCTAGAGATGGTTATTTGTTCAGCAATGTGAAACATTTTTGCTCTCAAAGTGCCCTTTACACAGACAGAAGATATGAGTTACTGTCTATTAAGACCCAGGGATCTACAGCACATTTTATCTTCTCGTCTACATCTCTGTGTCATTCAGTGTTGCACGCCGCATTAATGGTCTCTTGTGTAAACAAATTCCGCAACAAATGTGAAATAATGTTTTGATTAATAAAAACAATGAAATCATTCACGTATGTAATTGTTTTTATACTCGCCTTCTAGAGCCTCTTAATCATGAAGGAGAAATTGAATTATGAAATTACATAAATACATATTTCTGGTCCGTGTACTGTAGTAATGGAGCGATCTCTCTGTTCTCCGCCAAAACAAATCGATGATGTTTCGTTGCATTACATTGTCACAGATCTCAGGGAACAATAAGTGAAAACATGTCACGAGTGCTGCTCGGGGTTGCTGTGACATTTCCACTCTGATTTCATTTCACGGTTATATCTGGATATCTAGTGACTATCACATGATCACACTGAGTGCATCGTAAGTGACAAGTCGCACCATTACCACCAAGATATATTACATAAAAATATTTAAAGGTTATTTACTGTAACTATATATATATATAAATATAAAGTAGATGTATATGTGTACAGTATGTGCGTGGACTTTACATACAACAGTAACCTACACTGTGAGAAAGGTACCAGAAAAACAAAAACACTGAAGAACTTTTACAGTTTTTACAGTTTTGTGGTTACTATTTAGATTTTTCTACATATACATATATACATATAAATACGTGTTAGTCATAATATTGATTACTTAATATGGAAATATACTACATACGTATATCTCTGTGTGATGCAAACAACAGAAATAACTTGATGTATTTAAACAAGGCAGCAGTGGTTTATAGAATTTTGTATTGGCAAATTTACATGCAGCTAAATAGACTAAACTGTGGGTCTGTAATATTGTAGACCTACAGTTCAGCTCTAAATTTTTTTGTACTCATGCCAACTTTTCATTTATAGGGAATTGTTATTTGACCAGTGGGTTTCTTTTGGATGGAAATTTCATAAACAAGAGACAACATATGGTAAGGCCTTGTGTTCGAAATGTTTATGATAGATTTTAACTATTTGTATGTTTTTTGATATTCTTATTAAAAATGCAATGCCTAAAATTATCCATACCCTTTCTCAGTAATCAATAAAAAAGTTTTTTCAGCCACATCAGTCTGGTTGCTAACAAGCTTTTTCAATGTCTCCACTAGGATTTTGGACCAACCGTCTCTGGGTAGGGGGCTGCAAGGTGGATCGGTGGTTAGCGCCGTTGCCTCGTAGCAAGAAGGTTGCCGTTTCGCGTCCCAGTGAGGACATCTGGGATCTTTCTGTGTGGAGTCTCCATGTTCTCCCCGTGCAGCGTGGGTTTTCTCTGGGTTCTCCAGCTTCCTTCCACACAGTCCAAAAACATGTTGAGGTTAATTGGTGATTCTAAATTGTCCGTATGTGTGAATGTGAGTGTGCTTGGTTGTCTGTGTCTAAGTGTAGCCCTGTGATAGACTGGTTACCTGTCCAGGTGAACCTGCCTTCACCCTGAGTCAGCTGGGATAGACTCCAGCCCCCCGCAACCCTAAGACAAACAAAAAACAACAGCAATGTAGAAATGCACCATTAATACATAAATAAAAGTGATTTTTTACTTATTTAAAAAGATCTGCTATCATGCTGCACCACTGAGGCCACTTGTCCTTCCTCATTTTTGAATTTCCCTTCTTGGATAAATAAAGTATTTTCATTTCAAAAGTCTGCAAATATTTAACATTAACAGCTGTCTTACATCTTTTTGTCACTTATTTCTGCCGTTTTCAGTCAGGAGAACCCTACTGGTCAAATAAAAAATACACCATAAGCATGAAGAATTTGGGGCTTAGAGTGGCTGACCAGAATCATGTTAATAAAACCTTTATTTTTCTTAAAATAGCCTTTAAAATTTTGAACTCAAGTAGCTTTTACTCGTTTTTACTCGTTTAAAAGCAGCTGTTGCTCTCATGCTGCAGCACTGAGGCCACTTCTCCTTTGCAGTGCTGAAATAAAACTTGGAATCTGTTAATTAGTCAGTCATCCTGCACAGCTCAGCCCAGCTCAGCTGGCTGCAGAGCGTCTCCTCCTCAGCGGCTCCACCCTGATCCTGGCGCCTCCCTCCTGAGCTGCAGGAGCCGGTATGGGTACCCTCCGAGGACTCAGGTGCGTCTCAGACACCGGAGGCTCCCAGTCGGGACGAGTCGGCTCGACGCGCTAAACTCTGATTCTTCTGGGACGCACGAACGAGTGAAGGATTACCTGTGTTTTCACCTCCACATGGAAAGTTACTCTTTTTATGTTTAGGATAAACTCACGTTGAGACAGGTGAGTGTTGTGATTTGGATTGCGCATATCGGTTCATCATTTCTTATCACAGTGCTGATGACAACAAAACAACAACTTACTACGCAAATTATTCTACAGGCCCTCAGTTTAAAACAGTGTAAACAGAATTTACGCACAACTTAGGGCGCAACTTTTACGCCAGGTGATCTAAATATCTGACTTACGCAAACAAAAACAAGGTAAACTTCCATTGTTATGAGGCCACATCGAAAAGATCCGAATTGTTTTTTGCTTAATACATGAAATGTTCGCCTCTTTGAGGGGTTACTGGATGATTTCTGTGTGAAGATCCCAAGAATAAAGACTGAATGAACTTTTTAAGATAACAAAAAAAAGCTGGCCCTTTTGTTTGGCGAGTTAATCCTCCCACCCTGATTTATTCTACTTAAATAGTTTCACTGTTGGTAAAGACATTTTTTTTTTAAAAAATTAATGTTGATGGAGGAGAATCATGTTCCTTTAAAAAACAGATCATCGTTAAACGTAATGTGATTAATATGCTAATTATGAAATATGCATATTCATACTGAGGTAAAACTCTAATATGATGAGGCAAAATAGATTAAAATGTTTAAATCTGTGTTTAAGGGCACAGTAAAGACAGCAGTGATATGCACAGGTGGTTGCTGTTGCTCTCCTGCTCTTCAAAATAACAAATAACTTTCCCATGTTGTCTGTATGTTGATAACATGAACCCTGTAAATGGTGTTAAAAAGCACAACATAACAGATGTTACAACTTTGTGTCCCTGGCTTCTGTCACAGTCTTTAGAACCGGTCCTCTGTGTCAGGTATCTGGTTCTGTTTTCCATCCCTACCTTTGAAAATGTTTTGAAGTCATGTATGTGCCAAAAATGATCTTAGTCTCTTACAGTGATGCGCTGCTGTAATCACATTAGATCTTACTGTAACACATCCATTTAACACTTTTTGGTCCTAAATTCAGTAAAAACTTCTTATTAGTTACAGTTACTGTTTTTATTCTGAGGCAGTATGACGTACTGTCAGTGCCGCCTAAACTCTGTTCAGTGCTCTTTGGTCTCATGTTCTTCTATCTTTGCTGTTGGCTTTGTGGTAACTACTTTATTAAAGAGCATTGAAGACGGAGCTTGGTGTGTTCTTTTTATATGAAGGGCATATGTTAGACTTACTGTTATACTGTTAATGGGCAGCGACTACAACTGAGGTGGTTTTCCACTGCAGCAACTCAAGGCAGGCACGAGATGGCACGAATGTTTACAAGAGTGGCCCCTTAATGGGCCTTGTCAGCCCTTCTGGATCCATAAGATCCAAAAGTTCGACCACGACGTGATCTCCAAGTGCACCTACATAAAGACAAGTAGTAGCAGAGACAAAGACTGCTTTCTGAAGAAGGCAGAAAACGATGGCTGTTGTCCTCTCTGAGTTTAACCAATTGGCATTTGTCTTTTCCGAGTTTAACCAGTTAGAGTTGAAACCCACACAGCACATTTCCAGAAATACTTAGAAGTATACATGCTGGAGTAGATCTATTCCGGTGTTTCTTGCAGTGCACAAGGGTTATGGGAGCCCCAAGTCAGTTTACAAGTTAATGCAGTCTATTGTTCAAACACATACAAATGCCAAAAGTCTTCTGGATACAAAAGCGGCTAATAGCAGATACAACTCTGCACCTTCACATGTTAGAAGTTCTGAGAGAAAGGATGATGCTCAGATGTACTTTGACACTGCATTTGGGTTTTCTAGTCTGTTAACCTTCTGCTGAATCGTGCAGGTTGTCTGAGCTGCCAGAGTACTCCAGAGCACGATGAGTTGGGGGGCTCTCTACGCCCAGCTGGGCGGCGTCAACAAACACTCCACCAGTCTTGGGAAGATTTGGCTTTCCGTCCTCTTCATCTTTCGCATCACCATCCTGGTTCTGGCTGCAGAGAGCGTCTGGGGTGACGAGCAGTCGGACTTCACCTGCAACACGCAGCAGCCTGGATGCAAAAATGTCTGCTATGACCACTTCTTCCCCGTGTCGCACATCCGCCTGTGGTGTCTGCAGCTCATCTTTGTATCAACGCCAGCCCTGCTGGTAGCCATGCACGTCGCCTACAGAAAACGCGGGGATAAGAGGACCATGCTGGCCTCCAACGGCACCGAAAAGATGACAGATACTGACCTGGAGACACTGAAGAAGAGGCGTCTGCCCATCACAGGTCCGCTGTGGTGGACCTACACCTGCAGCTTGTTCTTCCGGCTCATCTTTGAAGGCGGTTTCATGTATGCGCTGTACTTTGTCTACGACGGCTTCCAGATGCCCCGTCTAGTGAAGTGTGAGCAGTGGCCCTGCCCCAACAAGGTGGACTGCTTCATCTCCAGGCCGACAGAGAAGACCATCTTCACCATCTTCATGGTTTCCTCGTCGGCCATCTGCATGGTGCTGAACGTGGCCGAGCTGGGATACCTCATCTGCAAGGCGCTCATGAGGTGCTCGGCCAGGTCGAACAAGAGGAAACATGCCTACACAGAAAGCGTGACGAGGGATAACAAGAAGAACGAGATGCTGCTGTCGTCCTGCACAGATTCATCCAGCAACAAGACGATGTGCTGAGGAACACTGACTGGAACCAAAGGAGGAGGAGGAGAGAGGCACAAACTGTAAATCCAACCAGACAGTTTGTGTTCAGAGTTTTTGGGAACTTGAAAAATAAAAATTGGCTCAGCTAGACAGCACTGTCTCTAGTTGGGGTGGCCCAACTATATGCATTATTACTTAAAGGAAGGTGATGCATCCATAAATTTGCCACTAAAGGCAGTCCAGTGTCACAATTGTATGGTTTTCAATCTGGTTGAGTTCCCATCAGTGAGTTTTACTTTGAAACACCAGATAGCAGAGAAAAAAAATATCACAAGTGTTACCTTACTGTTCACTCACTGGATGGTTGATAGTATTTAATTGAGGTTTTAATTTATTGTTCACAAGTTGCTTGAAGGTAACCGGTCAGGTTTCAGAGAAGAATAAATCTACACTGACATCTAGTGGTGGCAGTGGAACCACCTGCAAGCACAACTTAGTGTTAAAGGAGAGGAAGGAGAACAAAAGAAGTCATCAAGAGTGAAGGAGAGAGAAGTGCCTCTCTGATTCTGTTAGTGTTGAGTTTACAAGAGCTGACATTTGATCTTAAATGTGGTTGATCTTAAATTCAATAACTGATAAAAAGCAGATGAGTTTTATAGTTGTGGTGCATTGAATTGAATACGTTTTTAATTTGTGTATGTTCAGAATAAATGAAAAGGAATGTTGCAGAGAATAAGATTCTGCTGATGAATAGTGTATATTATAATATAAAGTCTTACACACCACAGCACAGTGGCTTCATCGATTTGGTGCTGTTTGATCACATCAGAATGCCTGTAGCCATTTAACTGAAGTCTTCACAAACATTTGATAAACATGCCAAGAATGTGTTGCATATTTTTCACACACCTTTTGATTGAAATATGAAAAATGTATATGTTTGTACTGTTGTATTGTACCGAGATGTTTCTATTCTTCTGCCAGCAAGAGCTAGAAACCTCCTCAACAGATCTTACTGCCCACGTGTGAATTACTTGCTGTGAAATTCAATTCAGAGGGGATCAAGTCTGAAGAAAGAGACAAACCAGCAAACCATTACACAGGAATACGTGTGTCCGATTTGTGAAAATCTTTCGGGCTTGTAGGGATTTATAGATAAAAGTCAATTGATATCTTCATAGTTTCTACAGTTTGTAACATTTGTTTTTGCTTCGAGAGTTTATTTTAGTTTGAGAACTTCCAAATGTGCTCTTACTGGCAAATTACTAAACCCAATATTCATGTATTGTCTTCATAGATGGATTCAGATGAGTGTGGCTAATGTTTTTTTTTTTTATCCTGTTTTTGAAAACCAGAAGTTTTCCTGTTCAGTCCAGACCTGCTCCTGTGTTTTTTGAACTTGTCTTGTTGTTCTCGAGGTGTGTACTGACCCCAGCTGGCTGTATCAGCTTTCAGCATGTGCCTTATTTTAGCCTCAGCGCTAATCGCCGCTCGCCCTCCTAATGTGAGGAACCACTGCCTGATCCCGAAGCGAAAATGTCTTTGTCCTCCCGCCATCCAGGAATAGCCGAGTTGGATTAGTTGCATCTGATCCAAGCAAAACTCACCTTGTGCGAACAGAGAATAGTGATATGCTGGTTAGAAAAAAAACTGCTAAGTTGGACAATCAATTAGATGTGCCAATTGCAAAATTCTAAAAAAGAAGAGCCAGGTGAGTTGTATATTGATAACTGATGCAGCTGATTGCATGGAGCTTTTCAGTAGGTGACCAAAGACAAAAAAAAAAAAACAAGCACAGAGAAAACACTCTGAAAGCCTCTATTTGATTTCTAAAAAGGTGTTTTCTATGTCAGCTATGCATTGGCCTTTGACCTTTTGCTTTCCTTAGCAGCCAAATGGCATTTTGATGTTCGTGATAGCAACAGTTGATGCTGTTTTTAAGGGGTGGTCCTGATCATTCCAGTTTAAAGATGCTGTAGCTTTTTAACATTTTCTACTCCAAATTGTTTTTTTTCCACAATCTAACTTTAATAGACAGCAAACAACATACTAACGAACAAACAGCTGAATAAATGAAATGTGTGTGATTGTGTTTTGTATCTAAGATGTTTTTATTACATTCGCACTTTGATCCTTTAACTTGTTTTGAGAAATTTTTCATAAATCAGTAAAAGTAAAACTGTGTGGTTCATTGTTTTATGTGTCAAAGTGTTTTACTGATGCAGCTACACACTGTGTCCACACTTTATGTGGAGGGAATTTTTCTCTTTTTCTGTTTTATGAATGATGTGCTAAAGTTGTATGTTGCATGGAGAGCTGCACATCACAATCAGTTTGTCTTTTTAATCAACAGATATCAAGTTTTCATGAACTTTCTGAGGAAATGTTTTATTTGAAAAGTACCTGAGTTGATGGTGATCTATCTTTAAATATCGTGGTCATTACTATTTTTTTAAAGGTTTTTGCTAAACTTCTACATCAGCTCACAGGTGGTTTTCTTGAGCTATTGTTGCGCACGTTCAGGTTTTGCGTATTTTCGGTAACTTTTACGCACGTTTTGGAGCGGTTTTTGGGGAGGTTGGCAGGGGCGTGGTGTGACACCGGACAGGCTGATGACTCTGTGGATTCACTCATGCATGGTCACACAATGTGACAGTCCAGACATGGCTGGAAACGGGAGGCAGCTCCGTTTAACCGAGCCCCATCTCCGACTCCAAGCCGCCTCCAAAAACTAACAACAAACTTTTCCTATGCGCAAAGTAACGGCCCCAGGACAGACAGACAGACAGACAGCCAACCACACGCCTGGAGAAGTTTGCGTATGAATGAGCTTGTGTTTAAAAAAAAAGAAAAGAAAAAAAAAAAAAGTTTGTTGAGCTGTCAGAGAAGTGAGGTTGCGGGTTTGGGATCACGGCGACAGAGGGAGGGTCGCTGCAGCCGCGGAAGGTCTACGCGCTTTTCGACGCACTCCAATGATGGCACCGATGATGGCAGATGGATTTGCTTTTCTTGTTTAAGTATGACATCTCCGGTTAAAAGGTATGACGGATACAGACTGCTGCCAGTATTTTCCTGCTCTTAAATGGGAGTTAAGTAAATGAAGAACCGCATTTTATCAGGTAATTAAAGAGTTTTGGCAGTTTTACTCAACAAGAGTGAGACAAAAGCCTGACAAAGCTTGTGGCGCTTAAAGGGAGTCTGGGGACTCTGGCACACTCTGCATTGTCAGCCTGGCAGGTATGGCTTTGTATTTGAACCTGGCTCTGTCTGTTACATCCATACATAAATGCCACAAATACCTGTGAAAGTGAGGGAAATCTATTTAGTTTTGTAGGATTGCCAATAATAAGTCATCACAAGGTCAGATGGAAAACTTTTCCACTTTCAGGGTGTAACTGCTGCAGTTTCCCCAAAACTACTGTATCAATATTTCTATCAGGTGGATGCAAAGTGTGTTTAGAAAGTCCTACCGTTTACATTTTTATACATCTTTCTTTGAAACAAACAAAAAAGTGTTTTATTGCTATGATCTGGACTTTTTTTTTTTTCAAAGAGTCAAAAAATGTAAATGAAATATTGTTTGACAATGTTTTTCTCTTCCAGGTGTCATACATACCGTGAACCCTAGTCGATGGATTTATTACCTTTAATACAAGAATATTTCAGTAAGTTTCTCTCTCACATGTGTGTTTATGTGTGCTGAATTTTTGGTGTTGTTGGTGTTTGCTCAGTGTACACAGCACTGTCTGAAACACATCTGTCCACCTGGTAGTTAGCAATTCATAAAAATAAATTAACTTAAAATGCTAAAATCTAGTTTGAAAATCCACTTTGACGGTCTGGGCCACACTTTACATCTGTGACATTAAATAAGGTGTAGTGCTGAGATTAATCAATCAACAGAGTGATCAGTTAAATTGATTAATATAATTGGTTCTCGCTTTTTGAATACAGAGATGTGCTAATTTTTACATTATTGTTTTGGAATACTTTCAAGGGTTGAACCATTGGCTCAGGAAAACTATTTGAATTCACCAAATTGGACATTTTAAACACAAATAATTTGATTTATTAAAGAATAAAATGTAATCATGATTAGTTAATAATAAAAAATACCTGTTTCTGCTTAACTCTGAGACGTTTTGAAACCTAAAACTTGTTCATATCCTGGCAGAATTTGTCACACAGTTCTAACATTAATCTCTTTAATAATTACAGTAAATGTCTTTCTATTTAATCCCGGTGGCTTTAGTGTTACAGCTGACAGAGAGACAGAAGGAGGGAGGGCGGCGTGTACGTGTGCATGCCAGTATTTGTGTATGTGTGTGCGTGCATGTGCCACACCAGAGCCCCATCTCTGCTAAATGCTGTTTTCGAACATTATAATGTTGATCTCAGCACATGCCTGCTGGGCAGTGGAGCGAGCAGGTGAGAGAGAGAGGCAGCCTGACATAGAGAGAGAGAGGGAGAGAGGGAGAGAAAGGGAGTGAACCAGGGTTCAGTCACACAGGTGGCCTATACAGTACAGGAGCTGCTAAAAAGCATCTGTGTCCGAGCTGTGCTTTGATTTGTTCTTGCAGCAGAATTCTATAAAGGCCATGTTCCGTTCAGTGTTTTGTGAAAAAGATAAATATGTCGGACTCCAGTCGACACCTCCACTCTCGTCCTTGTGTCTTCTTGTGTGTTTGCTTGTGTAGAGTGTTTAACTGCCGGGTATGTGACACTATGTGCGTCGAGAAAGTGTTGACTTGCTTTCAGTGCATTCAGAAACATCTCTTTAACTTTCTGCCACACTCTGTCTTGTCCTTTTTTCTTCGCCTTTCTTTCTCTCTTTGTCCACCTCCAGCCTGTACTTTCTCCATAGGCTAGAAATCTTGAAGCATGGGTGACTGGAGCTTTCTGGGGCGGCTGCTGGAGAACGCTCAGGAGCACTCGACGGTCATTGGCAAAGTCTGGCTGACTGTCCTCTTCATCTTCAGGATCCTGGTGCTGGGGGCGGCGGCCGAAGAGGTCTGGGGCGATGAGCAGTCCGACTTCACCTGCAACACCCAGCAGCCCGGTTGCGAGAACGTCTGCTACGATGAGGCCTTCCCCATCTCCCACATCCGCTTCTGGGTGCTACAGATCATCTTCGTGTCCACGCCGACCCTCATCTACCTGGGCCACGTGCTGCACATCGTCCGCATGGAGGAGAAGCGGAAAGAGAAGGAGGAGGAGATGCGCAAAGCAAACAGGTTCCAGGAGGAGAAAGAACTCCTTTATAGAAACGGTGGCAATGGTGGAGGAGGAGGCGGTAAGAAGGAGAAGCCGCCAATCAGGGACGAACATGGCAAAATCCGTATCAGAGGCGCGTTGCTGCGTACCTATGTGTTCAACATTATTTTCAAGACCCTGTTTGAAGTGGGATTCATTTTGGGCCAGTATTTCCTCTATGGCTTCCAGCTGAGGCCTCTGTACAAGTGTGCACGTTGGCCCTGCCCCAACACTGTTGACTGCTTCATATCCAGGCCCACTGAAAAGACTATTTTTATTATATTTATGCTTGTGGTGGCTTGCGTGTCTCTTTTGCTGAATTTGTTAGAGATCTATCACCTTGGATGGAAGAAAGTTAAACAGGGCATGACAAACGAGTTTGCCCCCGACCAAGAGTCGCTGCGCCACGCTGACATTGCGGAGCCTGAGTGTTTGGCCTCGGCCTCCAGAACTGCCCCCTCCAGCCTCAGCTACCCTCCCAACTACACGGATGTGACGGCGGGCAGCGGGGCGTTCCTGCCGCCCATGGGGCCTTCAGCTGTGCCCCCGGCGGCAGAGTTCAAGATGGACGACCTGCAGCAGGAGGAGTCCCTTCGCCAGGCCTCCCCCTCCTCCCACTACTACATCAGCAACAACAACAACCACAGGCTGGCCACACAGCAGAACTGGGCCAACCTGGCCACCGAGCAGCAGACTCGGGAGATGAAGGCCACCTCCCCCTCCCCATCCTCCTCTTCCTCCAACGACAACGATCAACAGCAGCCCGTTGACGCTGCGCTGCCGCTTCCCACCAGCGACGCCACCAGCACGACCGGCAATGCTGCCTCTGGCAACAGCAGCCCCGGTGCTGCTTCCAACGCAGACAGCTGGGGAAGAGGTGGGAAGAGCAAGCAGGAGGAAGGAAACGTCACCACCACCACGGTGGAGATGCACGAGCCTCCAGTAACGGTCAGCACAGACCCTCGGCGGCTCAGTCGGGCCAGCAAGAGCAGCAGCATCAGGGCCAGGCCGAGCGACCTGGCTGTCTAAAGCTCTTCGGCCCTTTCATGTCCCTAAACCCTCCCTGACCAACAACCCCGTTTCCCCAAACCCCGGCCCCAAACATTCTCATAGTTTAAAAAAAAAAAAACAACAAAAAAAACAAACAAAAAAATATCACTCAGATGCATAAAGCAAAAAAGGAAAAAAGAAAAAGCAAAAAAACCCCAAAAAATACAGCAACAAAAAAAACAACTAAAGAAGGCAAGGCGACAAGAGACAGGAAAGCACAAGGCAAATGTGAAATGAGCATCACAGCACTATCATTTCTAGTGCAGTCGGTGAGTTGCAGAGTAGGTGAGGCAAGGTTAGCTTTTTTTTTTTTTTTTTTTTAAATATTAATTTCCACAAAATGTGATCATGAATTTCCACAAAGTCAGACGGTTCCGTTAACAGCAGTAGATGGAGGAATGGACATTATAAAATCAAGAATTTTACATCAAAACAGACAAATCTCAGCAACCAGTTTGTTACAAAGGAAAAATCTCACAGCGTTTCTCTGTTTTTTCTTCTTTTAGTTGAGCTGAAAAGGACTATTTATTCCAAATGAAAGTGATCATTTGTCAGCCTGATGACTGAAAATGTTTCATTTTATCTGGAGGAAGCTGGCAGTGTTGTACAGATCAGTTATTTAATGTGTAGCCAAATAACTTGGTCATGATTTTTATCTGGTCAAATCGACAGCACAAACATGTGAAAAGCTTGTTCCAGGATTTTGCCTTTACCCTGGAGAGTCTTTAGCTGCAGCATTTCTTCCATTTTACTCAACACAACTTGTCTAGGATGCAATTTTATCAGCAAACATTACATGAATTGTGTTCCTTGTAGCTGTGCATGCCAGCATGTGTAGCCCTGCAATTCACCGATTCACTGTTTAAGCCACGTGGCAAAGACGGCCAGCTTGGTTTTACCCATGATCCATTGCAGCACCTTCTGCAAAGATGCTAAAATTTGTAACTGAGATGAAATGGACTGATGTGATTCTCCCAAAATCCTCAGAATAAACAGACTTAGGTGCAGTGTGGACGTGATATGGGTCAAAACTGCTGGTAGAAGTCATCCCAGAATGCACCTGGGTTTCTCCGAACACTACATTGTCAGTAACATAGAGATCAAAACAAGGAAAACAGGAGTCCCTTAAGCCTGCCTCTGTCAGCATTGCCTTCGGTCAACATTTCTGAAAAGAAAAATGCTCTCTACTAACTGCACAAATGCCAAGATATTGCCTTTCAAAAATATTATGCAAATACATGGCAGCCACGTTCTGATATAAAGAATAAAAATATTCTCCTTCAGACAACCTCCCAAAGCTCTGATTAGAGTTGAAACTGTTTTTCAGTTGAATTGTTGGCAGATATTTTTGCCCTAAAAACCCAAAACCTCCCTTTTTAATCATCACGCCAAAAGAACGAGAGCAACTTTGGGAGTTCAAATCTTTTCACTGTCACACACTTCATGTGCTTCTACATTGGTTTTATTCTGAAAAGTGCTATTTTTTTAATAACTGAATTGAATTTTACTCATAAATTGCATACTTGTAGTAGTCAGTTTGTGATTGCGAAACAGCTATGATTTAAAAGGAAAAAAAAAAAAAAAGACAAAACGACTGGCGTTGCGCGTATCAAAATGCCACGATGCGGTCGGAACTCGACCGCCTCCATTTTGTTGTGTTCATCTTGATTCTTAGAGATCTTTTAGAAAAACCCAAACTTTTAACTGAATTCATCAGCAGTCACAGTCCTCTGTCTCTGTTGTATCGCTGTGCTGTTTGGTTCATTCACAACCCAGGCACTCGCTTTTTAACTTCACATCAACCTTAATCTACTGTATTATCCTGTGAGTCCATCTCTGGCGCAGAGTTGAAGGTCCACAGTAACTCTGTGTGAAAACTCAACTGTCTGCATTGGACATATTGCACTTGTAGAGCAGAACAACGCAATTAAGTACTAATATGTTTGTGCACAGTATTTTATAGGGACAATACTTTTCCAGCAGTTAATGTGCAGGTTAATACACCAGAGCGAGAGCATTGTAAAGTGATGTTTTTTTTCTTTTCATTTTTCAGGGTGGTGGGGGGGTTACAAAATGATGGTACTGTATGGTGTAACTGTACCCATAGAATGGTTCACGCTGTATCTTACTACAGTTGCTTGACAGTGCAAACAGAGACACAAAGAGGAGACTATTACACAACACAAAGGTAAAAAAGCAGCCTTTTCCGATTCATGTTTCTTGTTAAAAATGACAAAAAAATCTTTGTTATCTGCATTTGTTCTTGATTCCTAAAGTTTACATTTTGGTAGTTGATAAAGATTTGCACATTTAGGAAAGAAAACTGCTGTTCTACAACGCTAATATTAGTAGTAGTAGGAGAGAGAGCGAGAGAGAGAGAGCGAGAGAGAGAGCATGACACCAAACTGCCGATGATCCTCAAAGGAAAGAAAGTCTTAAAATCAAAAAGCTCTTCAAAGACAAGGCAGTGTTAAAAAAAAAAGAAGAAAAAAGACAAAAAGAAACTGTTATTTATCCCAAGCTCAGATAATGATGAGTTTGAAAATTCTACAACAAAAAACGATGTTAGGAGAGAGAGGAAACAGTTGGGGTATTTTTCTGTTTGTTCACTCAGTATGTTCTCACAGACCCGTTGGGACTCTGGTTAGACGTCATATCAGACGACTCCGCTGTCGAGAGAATGTCCGCTGGGTAGCTGGCCCTTCCCTAACCCCGCATAAAGCCCTGACAGGATGTTGTGTTCAAAGCCCGTCGTCCCCTCCAGACTCTCTCCTCTTACGTTTCATGCAGAGCATGATTTCTCTGGCTCGTCAGGGAGTAGGAACCATCTCACAATGCTCACAACAGCAACCTGTTTTCAATGCTGTCTTAAACAAGAGAAGTGCCTTGTGTATGAATGATTCTTTTGTAAGAACAAGTTGATGTAAATGTTCATTTACCTCAAATGTTTACAAAACTGTTACTAAATAAATTTTTTGTACCATATTCGCCATTGTTGCCATCAATCAGCCCCACGCGCGTTGATACAGAGCTGTCGACTCCAACCACACGAGGAAGTGAACTCCACCAGTCCTAGAAATATAAGAACATATGAATCATTTTTAGATAAACATTATGATTTTTAGACTCTTCCAATGAAAACATCCAGTCACAGACTTATGGGAAAAGTTCAAACAGATTATTTGAATCTTCCTGAAGAGCATGCAATTTGAATTGCAAATGAAAACTGGGACCCCACAAACAGCTGTTATCAACAGTCTTCTCCTTAAATACGAGCCAAAAGAGGCGAAACACTCTGCAGCTTTCATTCCCAGCAGTCTGAACATTTTACCACTCAGTCAACGTGCCATAACTCAACAGTGTCTCATAAATATTAATCCTATACGACTAAACTGCACTCATTTTTGTTTTGAAAAAAAAAAGGTATTTTCTCCAGAGAAAGGAATCACTGCAGCGCATTATGAAGGTTGGAGCAGAGGTGGAGGCTTAAGCCTTTGGTCGGGTTTAGACACCAAAACTACTTTAAGAAAATATCAATGTTGGAGGGAAATTACAATCCTTTCACAACATGTCTGAAGCTTCTCCCCCGTTTTCTGGATTCCCAGAGTGACCAGTCAGACCCCACCGAATGTACAATTGGTTGGCTGGAAAGAGGAGCTGCAGGAAAGCAATCACATACATGGCAACTGAAAATGCAGTTTAGTTGTACAGGAGCATCATTTTTAGGAGACTGGACCTAACCTCATGTCTCCTTATGACAATGTAACAACAATTTGCCCAGATTCCAAATAGAAAACACTGAAAGGAACAACCAGAATCCCATTGTCCTGGTACTGAAGTTGTAATACCTGCCAGCTGAAACTCCACAACCAGCTGAGGTTTCTTCTATTATAACGGACGGTCAATCCATCTCTAAAAAGTTTGCATTCTTGGTGAAACTTTTTGTCCAAACTGTCTTGGAGAGAAGAGTCGTCTCATAACGGTAGATTGTGTGTTTGACTTCAGCTTCTTGCTCATGCAGTGACGTTGGGAGCTTTTGTCCTTTCTTGGTGGTCAAGACTCCATTAGATGCTTCTTCATTTCCTGATTATGAGAAGGGAAGAAAGCAGTTAAATACAGCACAAAACGTATCCGAGAAGAAACACAAAGTCTTAAGCTGATAAACCTTGAAACATCTCAGCAAATGCAGGCATAAAGAGTAAAAAGATCAGTCTTTATAGCAATGACAACTTAAAACTTTAAGAGATCAATAACCATTTGACTTGTGTTGACATTTTTTAAACAAGTACAAAGACTATTGCAGATATTTCCTGATGTCACCTTTTTAAAAAGTTTGGCAAAAAGAAACACAAACAACTTTTTTCAGAAATCTTTAGCCACATCTCATTACATCAGTTAGCTTAGTTGTCTTGGAAACTGCAAACTCTCTGTGTATGTGTTTGTATATATTTTTTTTCCCCCAGAAGTGTTAAATTCAACACTACCATGTACCAAGAGAGACTATAAAATATGTATTCTTTTCTTTAACAGATGCAATTTTGGGAAAACATTTCCAAGATCCACATGCGCACTCAATGTTTTTGACAATAAATATATTGTATTTCAAATTTTGAACATATATTTTGTGTACTCAGCTCACTCCAGTTGGTTGTACTGTTCTGTTTAATTAGATCAGTCATCTCTATTTGTCTTATTATGCTCTTTTTATGGATACATGCAAGCAGTTTTGGTTTCTTTAATCAGTGG